AAGCGGAAACTGGAGTCTAGATATGGTTTTAATGGAAACATGTCAGACCAGACCTATGTTTAACTAGGTGAGATAATACAGAGGTTTAAATCTGTTGAAATGCTGCTCATGTACATACCTAAAATACAACTACGGATCTCTCTTCAGGGAAGAGAGAGGGCAGCTAAGGAACGCCACAATCACGTTCCTGCCTGGGAGCCATTTGTAATGTGGAACAGTAAGGAGCGCAGGCAGGCAAAGAGAAACATTTTTCATTTCTTCTTTGAAGAATAAGGAACAAATTCTGCCCTCAGATACTATGTAAAAACTGCTGTTATAGCAAATAGGATTTTTTTTTTCTTACAAGTAGTTAGAATGTGCCCCTAAATGATGAAAAAAATATCCCTTTATATTCAAGCTTTCAGCCAAATAAGTAGGTATGCTGAGTATGAGACCATCTATCTAGACAAAGGAAATAGGTTAGAAATAAGTTTTCATAATACTAGATAACATGTTTGCACAGCAAAACTTCCTAAAGGGTAACAATATACCTCTCAGCTGTGATTATTCAGAGGAACCTTACCACCACTCCCTTTTGCCTTCCTCAGGTTGGAGTGAAGCCCTGCGGCTGCCTCAATGGTGGAACATGTGTTACCAATATTAAATTCCCTCCAGGCCTTGGTGAATACCTGTGCTTATGTCCCAATGGATTTGATGGAGAATTTTGCCAGGAAGATATCAATGACTGCAAATCAAACCCCTGTGGCAGCGGAACATGTGTGGACAGTGTGGATAGCTACTTTTGTAAATGTCCCCCTGGTTTGGGAGGTAACACCTCAATGTTTCCATGTCTGATTTAACTCGAGATATATTGTGCTACAGGATTTTTCTGAGTGCAGCGTGACCACAAGCATCTATCAAATGGACTACATAAGCCTCCTCTTCTGCTCTACTTAGCTTTAGACAGATAGAAAATGTGCAAAACCAGCTATCTAATTATCCATGTGCAAGGAAGGAAAAAAGACCTAAAGCTCTATGGTTCTGAAATGACTGCTCAAGGAGGTTGTGAAGGTCCCTGATCTCAGTTTCCACCTGCTTATTTCCCATGGATTTGTCCATCCATGACATGAGCTAGGAGAAGACTTGGTAGAAGAGAGAAAAGGCAAAGGTCCAGGACCCTTTTCGACTCCACAGGGTTTGACTAAATTAGAGCAATGAAAGAACTGGGAATGAATGATTTTTCTAGATCTAGGAAGGAGAAGCAGATATGGAAAACATGCAAAAATAAATTGTCCTTTAGTCCCATTTGAAGCTTCATTAAATTTAAGCATTAGAAAACCACAAATCCATTTGGTTGTCAGACATGCTGATGGAACAAATCTAACCTTTTAAACTGTTCAGGGCTGGCCACAATATGATTTGAAGAGATGCAGGGAAGAGGGATGATCCCTGCACCAAAAAAGGTTCTTTTAGAAAAGCAGAATGAAAAGTATGAAGAGGAGGAGTTGGAGAACGAAATGGAGTGAGGCCAAAGAGGTGGATGCAAGACATACAGTGCAAACAGGAAAGCCTGAAATGCGAGGAGACAGAGAAGCATCTAATAGGTAACGTAGGTGAGGCGAGAACATGTTGGTACCTATCATGCAAGTTATAGTCAGCTTGACTGCATTCAGGACACCTGCGAATGATTCAGACACGTGAAAAAGCACTTGTGACAGCATGCAGACAACGACTCCCCCGTGCTCTGCAGGCTGGAACCAGCAGAGCCAGTCATTAGACTCTCTGCTGCATTAAGCTTCTGGAGTTTGGCTGAGCTGAGCCACTGTTGGGTCTCACAGAGTGCCTACCACCTCCTCCGAGCTGGGACCCACGCTCCAGCTGCTCGTAACACCACTCGCTTCCGACATAACGGGGTTTCGCATCGGCCTAAACACGCCTTCTCCTGGAGTTTCACAGAAGTTGTGGTCTTTTCATTTGCAGTTCAGCTCCTCAGGAGGTACAAGGCAAATCTGAACACACAGGACTTGAAGAGGATTTCTGAGCCTGCCTCTCGCTTAGCTTTGCAGACAAAGGGCCAGTTAAAATAACAGTCGTTGGAAAGTAAAGACATTGTGTTGCTATCCATTCTCGTCAAATTAGTCTCCCACAAATGAAAGGTGCTAACTGAAACTGTGTTAGGACATCTCCTGGATCAGTACCATTTCCAAAGCAGAGTAAGAAAAAAACACCTTAAGCTGAGCTCAGATTTCAGTCCTTGAACCTGTCAAAACCCCTACTCTGTTCACATATGAAAGCATGAATGAATTCATGAGACCCATCATATTGGCTGCTGTGCAGTGCTATAGGTTTGGAAAATCCAGTAGAAGTAACATCAAATGCACATAATCATTAGTGCTTATAGTGCGTATATATAGAAAAAACTCAATTATAAACAAAAGCAATGAACAGATTTTACCTAATGGGCTCATGCAGGCAGCAAGGTACCCTTTCTGCCTTTCAGCAGTTCATGAAATCTTTGTTTTGGTCATGTGGGACTGCAAGTCCAGATTTCATTAACTATAAAGTTCCAGCAGCAATGAAAAATAAAAAACATTCAGAAGTGAAAGTTCAGAAAAATGGCCTAAAAGAGGTATGAGAGCTAGACAGTATTGACTCCAGGTAATGCTAGCAAATAGCCTAAGGCTGCTGCTATCCAAAGTGTTTGTGCCACCAAAGATGCAAGAACACACAAGCCTAACCATGGAGAATAAAGTTAGAAAATGAAAGTTTGATCAAAATATAAAAATCTCCAAACTAAACAAACATATGCAGCATGTCTTGAATCACCCTGGAAATAACGTTCCTATGAGCACAGGAAATTTGGTAACCTTTTTGGCCATAGTTGGTTAAACACTTGGAAAGATACAATGAGAATAATTCTTCATTGCCCGTAAGGAGGTGGATTAAATTAATAAAAAGCAATATGATTCCATAAGTTTATAACTTCGGTGGACCTGCTCCTGTTGTTTGATCATCACCAGTTTCACACTTCTCACTTTATGCGGTATTGCACATAGATGGAGTGAAATCAAGCTCTATTATTCCACATAAAATAGTCTGCCATAATTACAATGCATTGTTTATAAATTCACATGGAGCATATTCTGAAATGTGGTTCTCATTCTTACACAAACAGTACAGAACGAAATATCTAACATTTCAGAATAACACGCTTGAAAGCAACATACAGCCGGCTCTAGAGCCAAGGGCACAGGACACCTGGATGGCCAGAGGAACGCTGGCTTTTCCCAAACCCTGAATTCTTGCCAGGTTAAATAAACGTCCATTGTTTTTTGCTGTACTTCCCTCACCAAAAATGCTAAAACACAAGCAACAACAGAAAAAAAGATATGATTGAGTGAAACAGGAATATATCTCAAAGTTTTAATAGCAGGTGAAAAATTATAAGCAAGTGGAGCTGAAAGCCAGCTGGGAAACAGATGATTTTACTTCAGGGCAGGTTCTGTGACAACAATAAAAGCTCATCCTTGATGCTGTGTTTATGTCTCAATTCCCCAGAAAACCATCAATAATCTAATGAGAAGGCAATGCTGTACTGCTGAAGTGACAGCACCACTTCACCATCAAATCTTTACAAATGATAGTGAACAGGCAGTAGAAACAAAAAGTTAACTCTTTTGAGAGCTTCCCAGACATCACCGCAGGAGCAGCAGCAGCACAGGGAACGCGGTGTGTTGCTAAGCGGTAGCGGATC